TGAGTTGGGATATGTTCCATCCCCGTCCCCTTCAAGTTACTTGAAGTGTTTGTATGTAGAATTATTATTATTTCTTCCTTAAATATTGGATAGAGTTCATCTTGGACTGAAATTTTCTTTGTGGGAAAATTTTTAACCACTAATTCAATTTATTTAACAGATGTAGAGCTATATTGGTTATCTATTTTTTTGTTTGAATGATAAATTCTATCAAAAATTTTTTCTCAAAAATTTTTTATATTTCCTCTAAGTTGGTCATATTTATTGGCACAAATCTATTCTTGATATTATCTTATAGTAATTTTAATATCTGTAGACTCTATAGTGATATCACCTCTCTCAATCCTGATATTAGCTATTTGTGTCTTCTTTCTCTTTTTTTCCTGATCAGTCTGGCTAGAGGTCTATCAATTTTACTAATCTTCTCAAAGAACCAGCTTTTAATTTCATGTATTTTTCTCCATTGCTTCTGTTTTCTATTTCACTAATATCTTCTCTAATCTTGATAATTTACATTTTTCTGCTTAGTTGAGGTTTAATTTGCTCTTTTTCTAGTTGCTTATGGTGGTCATTGGTTTAAGGTCATTGGTTTAAGGCCTTTCTTCTTCCGTACTATGTTTAGTGGTATAACTTGCCTATAAATATGTTTTGGCTAAACTTCACAAATTTTGATATACTGTGTTTTCATTTAGTTCCAGATTATTTCTTAATTGCCCTTTTGATTTCTTCTTTGACCTGTAGGTTATTTAGAAGTGTGCAAATTCGTTCCCAAACAATTGGCTACTTCCCAGATATCTTTCTGTTTTTAACATTTAGCTTAACTCCTCTGTGATCAAAAAACATATTCTTCTGATTTAGATATTTTAAAATTTCTTAAGACTTATTTTGTAGCTAGACTATGGTCTATCTTGGAAATTTTTCTGTGTGCTCTTGAAAAGAACATGTATTCTGACACTGTTAAGTGGAATGTCCTTAAAATGTTACGTTAAATTAGTTGATAGCATTGCTCAAGTCTTCTATATCCTTACGAATTTTCTGTTTTACATGTTCCATCAATTAGTAAGAGAAAGGTTTTGAAATCTCCAGCTATAATTATAGATTTGTTTCTCTCTCTTCTACAGTTCTAAATATCCCACTGCCAAAGCCACACATGATAAAAATCAATCCAGAATCTCTGGGGGCGTGACCCAGGCATCAGTATGTTTTTAACTCCCCAGAGTGATTTGGGCTTCCCTGGTGGCTCAAATGGTAAAGCATCTGCCTGTAATGCAGGAGACCTGGGTTTGATCCTTGGTCGGGAAGATCCCCTTAAGAAGGAGATGGCAACTCACTCCAGTACTCTTGCCTGGAAAACTCCATGGATGGAAGACCCTGGTAGGCTACAGTCCATGGGGTCTCAAAGAGTCGTATACGACTGAGCAACTTCACTGGTAGAGTGATTCTAGTGTGTAGCCATGTTTGAAAAACATCGCCTCATGCAGTCCACATTGTGGATTTGACAGATTCTCAAATGCATGATCTTATTTAATCCTCATACCTGCCTTTGAGTTAGACATTATTCATTTCTATTTTACCTAAAATGAAATTAAGTCCTAGGCATTTGTCCAAGATCACATAGTTGACCAGAAAGCCTAGCTGAGACTTGAACCCAAGTGACCTAACTCATAGTTTATTCCTTCGAGGTACTTACATTTTGTTCTATGAGGTATGTTTATTGACTAGAATTCTATCTGTATTTCCATTCTGTCCCCCTAACACACTCTTTTGGGTTGTGGGCAGAAGTTGTGTCTAACCCAAAACTTATAATTTTCACTGGACCTACCACAGTGTCTGTCCCCTGGAGACGATTCTAAGGTTTTTCTTTTTTCTCTTGAGAGATCTAAGTATCTGGGTTCATCCCACCACATAGTCATCTATCTGCCTTTTTCATAGTCCATCCACAATCTAAGGTTTAAGTCAAGCTGTAATTAACACTGGCACACAGACTCTTCTCCAGAAACCTCAGGTTGCAGACCGTCAGCCTGCTTCACTCCACTAATACACAACATTGGCAGCCTGGGCCCAGAATTTGCCCTGAGCTACCCATATAAGTTTGGGGCAAGATTATGAGAGAAGAGCAGCCGGGGATGGATGCATTTCCTGTTTTGTTTGAGTGCTTCCAACAGGAGAAGTAATGATGAAAGAAATCCTGCCCATGCCAACCCCTCATTTGTTCTTGGCTGTCAGGGGTTTCTGGCTGGTCTTTTTTGATTTGTCATTATTTGTCTCCAGAGGTTCTGGTCCTGGGTTTGCCTGCATGTGTCTGCTGCTATGTGGATGCTATGATTAATTAAGTTGGTCAAGGATTAATATTTAAAGATCAGGAATGATTTGAATCATTCCTCCAGGGGAGTTGCTCAACTGCCTCCAGGGAAAGGGATCAGCCCCCCAAAATGGATCATTAATGTTTTTTGAGATAGTGTGCCTTTCAAAGAGACAGATACATCATAATTTGTTTCACCATTCCTCTGCTACTGTATGTTGTTCATTGTTTCCAGTTTTCACAGTTATCAGTGATTCTCCCATAAATATCTATATTCATACAAAGATTTCCTTCCCCCTTCTTTTGAATTATTTCCTTTGTAGAAATTTCCAGGAGTGCTGTTACTATACAGAAGGATTTGAATGATTTTAAGGGATTATGAGCTCTTCAAAAGGCAGTGCCACAGAGTTCATAGCCCATGTCTCATCTTGATTAGTTGAATTAATTATGACATGGACGAGCCAAGTTATTTCCTAAAGCATCACTCACTGTCCAGTCTTATCCCACAGAGTGGTGTGAGCAATACTAGATAAAGGCATCTCCATCACCTCATTCTTTATTCCACCGAAACTCACTTATAAAAAAAAAAAACCAAAACACCCTCACACATTCTAAGTGATGAGCTTTTGGAATAAATTTAAGAAACTCCAGAACAAAACCATGGGACAAATCAGTGATGCACCTCCTGAGATAAATCCTGTCTTAGAAATGAAATGAGAGCACACAGTGTGCATGGCGGGGGGACGGTGGTGCAAGGGTCCAGGTCAGTTATGATTGGAACGCTGGTGTCACAGTTGTCCCCTGCAAACTGGTTTCTGGGAGCTGGGTACAGACAGCCTGAGTTGAAAGCCTAACACAGACAGCAGCTGTTGAGGATGTAAAGTCTCTGGCCAAAGTGGATAGGGAGATGGGTGTGGTCACCCATAGACCAATTTCCACCCCACCCTACGAGCCCAGTGGCTCGTAGAGAAGAAAGAACTTCCCGTGTTGCATTCCAGTGCTCCTTTCTGGGCTTAGTGGGAATCTTGGAGAATGCAAGAGACTGGTTGCCAGGCCTGATTGCCCTGCACACACTCCCTCAGCTGGGTTCCCCTGACAGTCACCGAGACTCCAGAGAACTCCACGAGGAGCCACGCTGGCCCTAGATGGCTGCACTGCGCGGGCCATAGCCCCAGGTATAAAGTGCAAGTCAATCCCCCAACCATCCTCGAGGAACTGCCGGGTGGGGGAGTGCAGGGAGTGTGTGGCTCTTTCCTGCATTGCACAAGGAAGTGCTGACCCACCAGATCACCACCGGCCCCTACTGCAGTTTCTCAGAGCCTCTGACCTGAGCCCTCAGGCTGCATCCCTGAGCAAGGAATCTTCATTATCCATTTCAACATCACTCTTCTTGAAAACCCTGACTGCTCCACTCTCCAGAAATAATCCATCAAACTTTTCCCTTTGCTGAAGTCACACTGTGAAAACTCCCATAATCAAATTCCCCATGTTCGGATCTCTGCTGATGTTATTATGTAACAGCAGAGTCCAAAGCAAAAAGAGTGGGGCAGACTGACATCTCTTTTTTTTTTTTCGTTCTCAGTCTTTTAACTTTTTATCATGAAATGTTTTAAACATACACAAAGTGAGACAGAATGGCATAGTGAACCCCGTGTCCCTACCACCCAGTTGGAACAATCTCTACAGGCGCTGATCTTGTTTTAAGGAGCACCCCTATCCTACTTCCATCCCCTCCCCCACAAATATGCACATTTTCTTAACTGGAATTTTTTTTTTAATATGGACTATTTTTAATGCCTTTCTGAATTAGTTACAATATTGCTTGTTTTATGTTTTGGTTTTTTGGCCTCCAAGCATATTGGATCTTAGCTCCCTGAGCAGGGATTAAACCTGTGCTTCCTTGCCTTGGATGGCAAAGTCTTAACCATTGGACCTCCAGGGAAGTCCCTAACTGGAATTTTTATAAGCAAGTCCCAGACACAATTCCATTTCACTTGTAAACACTCCAGTATGCCTCTGTATCTAAAAAAGTTTCTTTTTTGATGTAACTTCTATAGGCACTAGTATTTATTAAGCAACCATTGGTATTTGTTTGGGATTGGTATTTAGGTTAAGCATAGCATCACTGACTCAATGGACATAAATTTGATTGAAGCCCAGGAGGTAGTGAAGGACAGGGAAGCCTGACGTGCTACAGTCCACGGGGTCGCAAACAGTTGAACATGGTTTAGCAACTGAACACCGCTACATGACAATAAGACCCTTTACACAATTTAGTTAATGAAATGTCAGCCCAGCAGAGAAACACCTTAGAAATTCATAACCTGCCCAGTGGAAAGAAATGCTCTGGTCTTGAGAACTTTGCTGTTTGCATTTTATTCATGAAGGAAACTGCTCAGCCAACTCAAGCTGTGGGGAGGCTGCAATCCAAGAGACGGCAGAGCTTGGAACAAGAGGCAACGAGTCAGAGCCTGACTTGCTCCATCCCCCCTGGATATTCAGGTTATTAAAGGGACAAAGCTTCCTCGTATGAAAAATTTCTTTTAAAAACAAAGCAAAGAAACCTTACTTATACCTTTAAATTACATTATCAAGATAGAAACACCCAGACTTCTTAAAAAAAGGTAGTGCCTTTAAAAAAAAAACTATTCATAAAAAGAGTTTTGAAAAATCCAATTCCTATTTCTACTCTCTTCAGGTGTGTGTGCAGAGAGAGCTCTGGAAGAATGTTGCTTCAAGCCTAAGCAATCTCAGTGGAAGTATTTCTGTTTGCTCTATGTTCCTCCTTGCAATCTCTGCACCTAATCTAAGTACCCGCACTCAGGAGATGGAAGCAGAGGCGTAGCACTGGATTGACTTGCCCTAAGAAATGTCCGTCTGCAGAAGCATAGCCTTGGGGTGAGTCTCTGCCTCAAGGACGGGCTGATAAACCCACTCTCGGTCACACAGGCTCTGGGCCTTCTAACTCCAGCCTCCTAGACTCAAAACCCCAGGTCAGCCCTGGAGACAGTCACAGCATACTGCTGATTCTCCCTTACGATTGCCATTACTTCATGCAGGAGAGCCCAGTTGGAATGGATGCCCTCCTCAGGCCCAGTCCACCGTGGCTGGAGGTTGGGATGTGTCACACCAAGAAGCTGCCAGCCACCGTTGTGGGTGAGGACTCTGCATGAGGAAGGAGGTGTTGTCACCCTGGCTGGCCGTGTACGTGGTGCTCACTGAAAACTGGGCTACTTGGTTTATTTAATTTTTGGCTGTGCTGGGCTTCACTGCTATGCGCTGGCTTTGTCTAGTTGTGGTGAGGCAGGGCTCCTCTTTGTTGTAGTGCATGGGTTTCTCATTGTGAAGGTTTCTTTTGTTGTGGAATACAGGCTCCAGAGGCTTCCCTGGTGGCTCACTGGTAAATAATCTGCCTACAGTACAGGAGATGTGGGTTTGATCCCTGGGTCAGGAAGATCCCCTGGAGGAGGAAATGGTAACCCACTCCAGTATCCTTGCCTGGAGAATCCCATGGACAGAAAAGCCTGGCAGCTCCAATCCATGTGGGTCACAAAAGAGTCAGACACGACTTAGCCACTAAACAACAATGGGCTCTAGAGCATGGGCTTCAGTAGTTGTGGTGCACAGGCAGCCTATGGAATCTTCCTGGGCCAGGGAAGGCAAACTCTTAACCACTGGACCTCCAGGGAAGTCCCTGAGCTACTTCCATAGGCTTCGATAGGTGTTCCCTCCATCTGGGCCCACCCGTCCAATGTCCGTGTGACTCACCCTCTTGCCGCTTTCATGTCTTTCACATCTCTGCACAAGTACCCCATTATCAGGGAGGCCTTCTCCCCCCGCCCCAACACACACCCAGCCCTTTCTTCTTGCTCCGTCTCTACTGCTCATCACAACCTGACACATAGTTATTATTTGTTGTCTGTTTTGGTCGCTACCCTATGCCTTGAACCTAGATCAGTGCCTAGAATGTCCAGCAAGGGTTCATCACATTTGTCCAGGGTGAATGATCTCCTTAAGAACAAGGCCATGTCCCCTTTTCCTGCCATACCTGACTGATGAGAGCAGACAGTGAAAACAGATGCTCTTTGCCGAGCAGGGGCTCTGTAGGAAATCCATGGGGAGATACAAAGGAGCTTTCTAGATCCAACACTCACCCCGAAAACCTAGCTGTTCTAGTAGGAATGCCAATTTCTTAAATCTGTATCTTCTGTGACCACCTTTGAGCTTGGGACCACCAGCTCGTCCTGTGTTCTTACCCTTCAGGGTGTACATGAAGCTTCCCAGTGGCCCGACTAACAAACTTTCAGGCACTTACACTTTCATAATAATATATCCCTCTTAGAGCTATACCACTGAAAGGTGTTCCTTCAACAACAGAGAGATTTATTACTTTCTTCCCCCACAGAAAAACCACAAAAATATTTTCTTCTTGACTACAGCAGTGAGTTCCAAGTTTCATTAAAGAACTGGCCAGATGCTTCCTCCTAGCTTGTGTGGGAAGAAGTCAAGATAAAGGGCACTTGGAACTCTACCTCTGAACACCTGCCTCATACCTTATTCCCTCATGACAGGTCTTCCTGTTTTCCTGGGGTTGGGGATATACAGCTGTATGTGACCTGCTTCCACCAGCAGCTGGGACTCTGGAACCTCCCCCCTCCCCACCCTCTTTCTGGTATTAATAATAGATGGCTTTTATTGAATTGTGCACCTGTCATAAACCAGACATGGCACTTCACAAATTGTTTCAAATTCTTAATCTCCAAACTGGAAAGGAGCTGTAACCTGAGTGTCTGCTGCTTGGACAGCCCCTGTATCTGGAAGAGCAGAGTCTGTCTTTCTGTCTCTGTCACTGAGAACCACTCTCCAGTAGATTTGCAGAAAAGAATGGGTCTCTCATCTCCAAAGCCAGTCCAGGCTGTGGCCAGTTCCACTGCTTTCTCCTGCCTCCAACTCCACCTTCAGCCAGGTCTCTGCTCGCTGGAGTGTGGGTCCTGGCCTGTGTTCTGGGGCTGCCATCTTCCCTGGGCATGACGCTGATGGTGGCCTTGGGGGTTACGTTGACAGAATAACGGCCCCCAGAACGTCCACATTCTGGAACCTGTGAATATGTTACCTTACATGGTAAAAGGACTTTGCAGATGCAATGAAGTTAAGGACCTTGAGTTGGGGAGATTGTCCTGAAATATCCGGGTGAACACGATGTAATCACAAGGGTCCTTATAAGGGAAAGAGAGTAGAAGTCAGAGAGGGAGATATGACGATGGGAGCAGAGGTCAGAGGGATATGAGGAAGAGGCCAAGAAATGCAGGCTGTCTTTAGAAGCTGAAAAGGGCAAGAAAACAGATTCTCGCTTGGTGGATTGAGAAGGAATGCAGCCCTGTAGACATCTTAATTTTAGGTCTTCTAACCTGCAGACTAGTAAGATAGTACATTTGTGGTGCTGGTGACAGTTCATTATACCAGCCATAGAAAACTAATGCAAGGGACAGTGCAGGGAAGTCACATTTGCTATCGTTGTTTTCCCTCTTAATTCTACACATCTAACATGAATGTGTAAGCCACTTCATTAAAAATTGGAGCATATGTAGAAGGGGAAAAAATGAAAATTAAATATAACTGTTCCCAGAGCCCCAAGTGAAGAAGGAAAAGCCCTTAGCAGTGTGTCTTCGCAGGCCTGGTTCATTTCCTAACCTTGCTGACCAGTCCCAAGGCCAAACCTGTTTCTTCTTTTCCTCTATGAGCCCACTCTTCTCCATGGTGCCATTCATTCATTCAACAAGTGTTTACTAATTGCCTGTGGTGTCCCAGGGACCATTCTAGGTGCTGGCAGTAGAGCACACAAAAGACAAAGAATACAAGCTAAATATATCACTATATTTACCATTTAATACAACACCGCCCCCCAAGCCCCGTGATATCCCCACTCAACAAAATCCATCCAACCCTTACCGTCTACCACAAATAGGATCATCTGTAGGGTAAGGATGATCCACAGCCAAACATTTTTCAAAGTCTAAGTTACTCAGAAATCATACCATGTTGTTAAATGACTCCCAGAATAATCTATGAGAGGTTTCGTTTTTCCAGTTTTTGTTCTCTTTAGGGTCTCTCTGCCAGAGTGTAATCCAGATACCCCTCCTCATTCTTCCTGTGGTCTTCTGATCACCTGCAATTAATTCTTAGATATCACACACACACACACACCCATACACCAAAGAAACATCATCAGTGTTAATCCAAATCCATACTAAGGAAGTGAGGGGAGAATCATCCTACATGAATTTCATTCTTCCAACATATTCTGCCCAACTAGATGGCGACTTGCCTCACTTTTGTTATGCAAAGCAGCTTCAATTCCCCCTTTCTCAGTTCCTACCTGGAGACTATGCCCAGGACTCGCACTAGCAATGCTGCCTATTATGGTGCCCTTCTGAACAGAAAGACCTCTAGTCATTACATCATCCCTTTCTACCCAGAAGCTTGATAGATGTGCTTTTTAGATTCATTGAGCCACATCACATTCCTATCCAGGGCTTCCTCCACTAACAGACTCCACGAGGACATGAATCTGGGCCCTCTTTCCCCAATCCCTACCACGCCCTCAAGAGTTATGGGACTTTTCTAGTAGGAAGGAACTCCCAAGGGAAAATACCTCCTTTTCATCACTTGTAAATGATTCTTTCCTCCTCCTTCTCCTCCTCTCCTATGATGTTTTCCTAACAAGGATGCACGGGCACCATCCAGCAGATACTTAAAAAAAAAAATTGTATTGGATTATAGTTGATTTACAATGTTGACAGGTGTACATCAAAGTAATTCAGTTATACATATACATACATCTACTCTTTCTCAGATTCTTTTCCCAGATTCTTATCCCAATTATAGAATATTGAGTAGAGTTCCCTGTCCTATATCATAGGTCCTTGTTGATTATTTTATATAGAGTACTGTGTATATGCTAATCCCAAACTCTTAATGTACACCTCCCCCCTCCACATCCTGGCCTTTCCCCTTTGATAACTATAAGTTTGATTTCAAAGTCTGTGAGTCTGTTTCTGTTTTGTACATAAGTTCATCTGTATCCCTTTTTTTTAGATCCCACAGACAAGTGATATCACATGATATTTGTCTTTCTCAAGCAAATACTTTTGATTAAAGCAAATATTAGCTCTCTGGGCACTGAGAAATTTCAGAAGGAAGAAATGTTAGCAACAGAATCCAGTGAAGCTTACTACCATTAGCTACACAGTGCTGGTTGAAGGGTGATTATTGTGATAGAAATAAAAATGCATTGATTACATGTTTCCTGGGTGCCAGGGACTTTACTAAATGTTTTTCTTGCCTTTAGCTCATGTAGTCCTCCTCTTCAATGAGGTTAGGATGATTTTTATCCATATTTCACAGATGAGGAATTTGAGGCTGTGAGGGGTTAAGAAAATTGCTCCAAGATTACATTGGGAGTTGGTGGCAGAGTAAGGGTTCAACCAGGTTCACCTAATGGTCAGACTTTAACCTCTGCTGTGCTGTACTTTAGTGACTGGAATCCTCTCCAGGCTGGTACCTCCTATCTCCAGTTCCATTCTTAACTGAAAATAATAAAGGCAGGAAGGAAGGAAAAGACAGGTTTCCTGAGCAAATTTGAGCACCCTGAGAATTACAGATAGGTGAGAAGAAACCTGAGGCCAGGAATAAGAAATTACTTTTTAATTACAACTAATTGAGCAATAATAAGTTTGGAAATTCATGGTTTGGAGTCAAGCATGGTGTTGGGAGCAGTGGCAACATTTATTTTGGAAAGTGTCAAGGACTGCCACCTCCATTTAGATGCTTTTAATAAATGACAGT